GCACGCTATTGAATTGTTGCAGAGTACGACGTAAGTTGATAATGTAGTTAATATTATCTTTGAAGGTTGGAAGGGACTCAGAAGAGACATTCACAAGTCATCATTTGAAAACTAATATCCAATTTTCTTCAATAAAAATAGTAAGTTTGTACACACATAAATTGCTAAGTAGGACGCACCACTGCTAGAATTTTGAAGCCAGTCACAGGAGCCGACCTCACAACACCATATTTTGTACCTCATAACACCACTGAGAAAATATTCACATTACTGTGACAGTATTCACACCGCTGAGAAAATATTCACACACCGCTATGAAAATCGTCACACTACGGTGAAAATCTTCATACCACAGTGAAAATCTTCACACTACAGTGAAAATCTTCACACTACAGTGAAAATATTCACACTACAGTGAAACTTCACACTACAGTGAAAATCTTCATACCACAGTGAAACTCTTCACACTACGGTGAAAATCTTCATACAACAGTGAAAATCTTCACACTACAGTGAAAATCTTCATACAACAGTGAAAATCTTCACACTACAGTGAAAATCTTCATACCACAGTGAAAATCTTCACACTACAGTGAAAATCTTCACACTACAGTGAAAATCTTCACACTACGGTGAAAATCTTCACACTACAGTGAAAATCTTCATACCACAGTGAAAATCTTCACACTACAGTGAAAATCTTCATACCACAGTGAAAATCTTCATACCACAGTGAAAATCTTCACACTACAGTGAAAATCTTCATACAACAGTGAAAATCTTCATACCACAGTGAAAATCTTCACACTACAGTGAAAATCTTCATACCACAGTGAAAATCTTCACACTACAGTGAAAATCTTCACACTACAGTGAAAATCTTCACACTACGGTGAAAATCTTCACACTACAGTGAAAATCTTCATACCACAGTGAAAATCTTCACACTACAGTGAAAATCTTCATACCACAGTGAAAATCTTCACACTACAGTGAAAATATTCATACCACAGTGAAAATCTTCACACTACAGTGAAAATCTTCACACTACAGTGAAAATCTTCATACCACAGTGAAAATCTTCATACCACAGTGAAAATCTTCATACCACAGTGAAAATCTTCATACCACAGTGAAAATCTTCATACCACAGTGAAAATCTTCATACCACAGTGAAAATCTTCACACTACAGTGAAAATCTTCATACCACAGTGAAAATCTTCATACCACAGTGAAAATCTTTATACCACAGTGAAAATCTTCACACTACGGTTTGAAAATCTTCACACTACAGTGAAAATCTTCACACTACAGTGAAAAATCTTCACACTACAGTGAAAATCTTCACACTACAGTGAAAATCTTCACACTACGGTGAAAATCTTCACACTACGGTGAAAATCTTCACACTACAGTGAAAATCTTCACACTACGGTGAAAATCTTCACACTACAGTGAAAATCTTCACACTACAGTGAAAATCTTCACACTACAGTGAAAATCTTCACACTACGGTGAAAATCTTCACACTACAGTGAAAATCTTCACACTACGGTGAAATCTTCACACTACGGTGAAAATCTTCACACTACAGTGAAAATCTTCACACTACGGTGAAAATCTTCACACTACAGTGAAAATCTTCACACTACAGTGAAAATCTTCACACTACGGTGAAAATCTTCACACTACAGTGAAAATCTTCACACTACAGTGAAAATCTTCACACTACGGTGAAATCTTCACACTACAGTGAAAATCTTCACTACTACGGTGAAAATCTTCACACTACAGTGAAAATCTTCACACTACGGTGAAAATCTTCACACTACGGTGAAAATCTTCAACTACAGTGAAAATCTTCACACTACGGTGAAAATCTTCACACTACAGTGAAATCTTCACACTACAGTGAAAATCTTCACACTACAGTGAAAATCTTCACACTACGGTGAAAATCTTCACACTACGGTGAAAATCTTCACACTACGGTGAAAATCTTCACACTACAGTGAAAATCTTCACACTACAGTGAAAATCTTCACACTACAGTGAAAATCTTCACACTACAGTGAAAATCTTCACAGTGAAACACTCCACAATTTATTTACAAAATAGACATTTTTCACTTTTTTATAAGAAATTATCATATGTAATTTAAATAAAATATGTAGCTGTCATTAATAAACTGTAATAATTTTATTTTGAAGCAGGAATACTTATGAATAATTTGGTTCAATTAATATTAGGTCAGATAAATTATGTAGTTACATACATCGTTAATTACAATAATTACCATCAGGGAAGAGTTTGAAGTTAAGGGTGTTAAGAACAATTATCATAAATAATCCGTACTTACCATACATATAACGACGTTTTAATAATAATAGTAATTATAATAATAATAATAATGTTAATCATTACAATGATAATTATAATTAATAATTATATTTCAGCATGATACAATGTTTGTAGAGAGAAAGGGTATACCTGGAGGGTGTTCCGGGGGTCAACGCCCCCGTGGCCAGGTCCATGACCAGACCTCCCGGTGGATCAGGATCTGATCAACCAGGCTGTTACTGCTGGCCGCAAGCAGGCCGACGTACGAACCACAGCCCGGCTGGTCAGGAACTGACCAGTTAGGCATGAAGAAAGTCCATAGGCAGAGGATTTCGTTTTGTCTCTCCTGGACCATTATGACTTGATGTTCCAGTGGTCGTTGTAAGTTGTGTAAGTGCAGGTTGTGTGAACTGTACCACCCACGGTATTGTGTGTTGATCCACCCACGGTATTGTGTGTGTTGATCCACCCACGGTATTGTGTGTTGATCCACCCACGGTATTGTGTGTGTTGATCCACCCACGGTATTGTGTGTTGATCCACCCACGGTATTGTGTGTTGATCCACCCACGGTATTGTGTGTGTTGATCCACCCACGGTATTGTGTGTTGATCCACCCACGGTATTGTGTGTGTTGATCCACCCACGGTATTGTGTGTTGATCCACCCACGGTATTGTGTGTTGATCCACCCACGGTATTGTGTTCATCCACCCACGGTATTGTGTATCGTTCCACCCAGGGTATTGTGAACTGTTCCACCCACGGTATTGTGTGTGTTGATCCACCCACGGTATTGTGTGTTGTTCCACCCACGGTATTGTGTATCGTTCCACCCAGGGTATTGTGTGTTGATCCACCCACGGTATTGTGTGTGTTGATCCACCCACAATTGTGTGTTGATCCACCCACGGTATTGTGTGTTGTTCCACCCACGGTATTGTGTATCGTTCCACCTAGGGTATTGTGTGTTGATCCACCCACGGTATTGTGTGTTGTTCCACCCACGGTATTGTGTATCGTTCCACCTAGGGTATTGTGTGTTGATCCACCCACGGTATTGTGTGTTGTTCCACCCACGGTATTGTGTATCGTTCCACCCAGGGTATTGTGTGTTGATCCACCCACGGTATTGTGTGTTGTTCCACCCACGGTATTGTGTATCGTTCCACCCACGGTATTGTGTGTTGATCCACCCACGGTATTGTGTGTTGATCCACCCACGGTATTGTGTGTTGTTCCACCCACGGTATTGTGTGTTGATCCACCCACGGTATTGTGTGTTGTTCCACCCACGGTATTGTGTGTTGATCCACCCACGGTATTGTGTGTTGATCCACCCACGGTATTGTGTTCATCCACCCACGGTATTGTGTATCGTTCCACCCAGGGTATTGTGAACTGTTCCACCCACGGTATTGTACATTGTTCCATCCACGGTATTGTGTGTTGTTCTACCCATGGTATTGTGTGTTGTTCCACCCACGGTATTGTGTATCGTTCCACTCAGGGTATTGTGAACTGTTCCACCCACGGTATTGTACATTGTTCCATCCACGGTATTGTGTGTTGTTCTACCCACGGTATTGTGAGCTGTTCCACCCACGGTATTGTGAAATGTTCCACCCACGGTATTGTACATTGTTCCATCCACGGTATTGTGTGTTGTTCTACCCACAGTATTGTGAAATGTTCCACCCACGGTATTGTATATTGTTCTTCCCACGGTAATGTGTGTTGTTCCACCCACGGTATTGTGTGTTGTTCCACACACAGTATTGTGTGTTGTTCCACCCACGGTATTGTGTGTTGTTACATCCACGGTATTGTGTGTTCCATCCACGGTATTGTGTGTTGTTCCACTCACAGTATTGTGAACTGTTCAACCCACGGTATTGTATATTGTTCCACCCACGGTATTGTGCATTGTTCCACCCAAGGTATTGTATATTGTTCCACCCACGGTATTGTGTATTCCACCCACGGTATTGTGTATTGTTCCACCCACTGTATTGTGTATTGTTCCACCCAGGGTAATGTGTATTGTTCCATCCACGGTATTGTGAACTGTTCCACCCACGGTATTGTAAACTTCCACTTACGGTATTGTGAACTGTCCCACCCACGGTATTGTGAACTGTTCCACCCACGGTATTGTGAACTGTTCCACCCACGGTATTGTGAACTGTTCCACCCACGGTATTGTGCATTGTTCCACCCACGGTATTGTGCATTGTTCCACCCACGGTATTATGAACTGTTCCACCCACGGTATTGTGACATATTCTACACCATTGATAATCATTCACCTTCACTTAAGCAGTTAACATGTATCTACAGCACATTTCTTCCACCACGAGTGAACAAACGTTCACATATGAACGTATGAGCAGTTTTTTCTCGTTCACCTCCTTGCCAGGCGGGTTTCACTACTTTTTTTTTTACTTGCTTATTTGTGGTTGAATATAAGTTTTTGTGGATTTATCTCGCCTGACCTAAATTAACTTAACTTAAAATATTCTCTTTCCGATCTGATTTAACTTGACTTAAAATAAATAAATATAATAGAATTTGAAAAAAAAAAAAATCGACGTTGTTAGAAATTGACGCAGTGAACTAAGGATTAGCGTCTGTGTTGGAGGTCACCCTCCACCACTAACCTGTGTCTGAGTGTTGGCGTTTGGATCACCATCCACCACTTCTCGCTTCCTCTGGTCTTCCTTGAGTCTTTCGCTCTTCCTCCACTTGGCTCGGCGGTTCTGGAACCACACCTGTAGACACACCAAGATAGACGTTGCTCTCACTCTAACTATTGCTTCAAACACCTACACTATCGCAAAACTTCATATACGTGTATAACGCGATTTTGGCTTAAATAACAACGCTCTTCTTGCCGAATAAGGCAAGCGAAAATTTGTATATGAAATAATTTCACAAAAATCAGTCTAAACCTAACGATAAAAATATATTTCATTGTGTTGTTTATTATTCAATTATTGTAACCTGATCTAAAATATATTTAGGTGGATTAGGCTAAATTAAATTGCGCTTGTTATAATAAGGTTAGGCAAGTTTTCTAAGGTTCTTTTAGTACAAAATTATTATGTTTTACATTAACATAAATGAAACAAATATATCTTTAAACGTATAAGAGAAAATTCTAGAAAGGACTTAATTTTAAATGAGTTCTTGTTAATTGGCCATTTTTACCTATTCTGCACGATATTATATATATATATATATATATATTATATATATATATATATATATAATATATATATATATATATATATATATATTATATATATATATATATATATATATATATCATCTTCCATCTATTTGTTTCCCGGCAGTAATTTGTTTTCTCGTTGAGTTGGGTAAAGAAGTAACTGCCTGGTTGCTAGAGCGAGAGACTTGGTTAATGGTACACAGTAAGTGCCTCACGACTACAACAACTACACTAATGCATCACTTAATGAAGACTTAGGGTACAAGACTTTTGTACACCCTTGCTTCTAACATATAAAGACTTACCAATATACCAGTCACTACCTATGTTCAAAGTGGAAATTTGACAAGTTCAGAGAGTCTTCTGCTTTTCTATCCTTGACTCATACATTTAGATAATGCACGATAGTTTCTTAATGTAAAAATAAGGAAATAGTTCTCATACAGCATATAGCTTCAGTGTGGTTTTGTAAGTCCTCTGCTCTGTTTCTCATGTATTCCAGACAGTTGTTCCTGATCAACCGGGCTGTTATTGCTTATGTTGGACTGACAACAGCAAGCCTGGCGTAGCACTGGGCCACGGAGATGATACCTGTCGGAATTATCAGTTGAGGGCATTCCGGGGATCAACACCCCCGCTGCCCGGTCCATGACCAGGCCTCCTGGTGGATCAGGGCCTGATCAACGAAGCTGTTACTGCTGGCCGCACGTAGTCCAACGTACGAACCACAGCCCGGCTGATCCGGCACTGACTTTAGGTGTCTGTCCAGCTCCCTCTTGAAGACAATCAGGGGTCTATTGGTAATTCCCCTTATGGCTGGTGGGAGGCTGTTGAACAGTCTTGGACCCCGGACACTTACTGTGTTTTCTCTTAGTGTATCAGGGGCGCCCCTACTTTTCGCTGGGGGTATGTTACATCGCCTGCCAAGCCTTCTACATTCGTATGGAGTGACTTCTGTGTGCAGGTTAGGGACCAGTCCCTCCAGAATCTTCCAGGTATAGATTATGATACATCTCTCTCGCCTGCGCTCCAATGAGTACAAGTCAAGTGCTTCCAGGCGTTCCCAGTAGTTAAGGTGTTTGATGGAACTTATATGTGCAGTAAAGGTTCTCTTTACATTTTCTAGATCTGCAATTTCACCTGCCTTGAATGGGGATGTTAATGAACAGTAGTATTCCAGCCTAGAGAGAACAAGTGATTTAAAAAAGATCATTGGCTTAGCATGTCTTGTCTTGAATGTTCTCATTATCCATCCTTTCAGTTTCCTCGCAAATGTGATAGTGACATTGTTGTGGTCCTTGTAGGTGAGATCTTCGGACATTACCACACCCAGGTCTTCACACTGCTTTTTCGCTCTATTGTGTGATTTGAGTTTGTAGTATACTCAGTCCTAGTTATTATTTCCTCCAGTTTTTCATAACGGAGTAGTTGGAATTTGTCTTCATTGAACATCATATTGTTTTCCGTTGCCCATTGGAAAACTTGGTTTATATCTTCTTGGAGATTTGCCGTGTCCTCAATGGATGACAGTGTCATGCATATTCTAGTATCGTCTGCAAAGAATTATACGGTGCTATGATTTACATCTCTGTCTATGATATGAGAATGACGAACAGGATAGGGGCGAGTACTGTGCCTTGTGGAACAGAGCTCTTCACTATGGCGGCTTCCGATTTAACTCTGTTTACCACTTCTCTTTGTGTTCGATTGGTTAGAAAGTTGAAGATCCATCTGCCTACTTTGCCAGTTATTCCTTTCGCGCGCATTTTGTGTGCTATTACACCATGATCGCACTTGTCAAAGGCTTTTGCAAAATCTGTGTATACTACATCTGCATTCTGTGTTTTTTTACAGTGCATCTAAAACCATATCATAGTGGTCCAAGAGTTGCGAGAGGCAGGAGCGACCTGCTCTGAAACCATGTTGCCCTGGATTGTACAATTTTTGGGAGTCCAAGTGGTTTGCAATCCTGCTTCTTAGAACTCTTTCAAAGATTTTTATGATGTGGGACGTTAAAGCTATTGGTCTATAGTTCTTAGCTACTGCTTTTGCTGCCCCCTTTATGAAGTGGGGCTATATCCGTTGTTTTCAGTGACTCTGGAATCTTACCTGTGTCTATGCTCCTTCTCCATAGCATACTTAGGGCTCGTGAGAGGGGTTTCTTGCAGTTCTTAATGAACACCGAGTTCCACGAGTCTGAGCCTGGGGCTGAGTGCATGGGCATGTCGTCGATGGTGTTTCTCAAAGTCTAGTGGAGTTAGAGTTATGTCAGAAATTTGGCATACATGGGCAGGGTTTTGAGGCTCATTCGTGAAAAAAAATGTTTGGATTGTCTATCTTTAGACTGATTAGTGGCTCACTGAACACAGAGTCATATTGAGATTTCAGGATCTTACTTATTTCTTCGTTGTCATCTGTGTAGGATCCGTCTTGTGTGAGCAGGGGCCTTATACTACAAGTGGTTTTTGCCTTGTTTTTAGCATATGAAAAGAAATATTACGTATTTCTTTCAATTACACTAATCGCTTTTAGTTCCTCTTGTCTTCCCTGGTGAGCGCTTCTTTCCTTGTATCAGATAATCTGGCATTCTTGAGGAGCTCAGTGATTCTTCGCCTTCTGCTGTAGAGGGAGCATTTCTCTCTCTCTCTCTCTCTCTCTCTCTGCAATTTACTTCTTCTCTTCTCTTTTCTTTGGGGAATATGCCTTGAACATACTCTCAGTAGTATCAGTTCCCAGTAGTACCAGCTACATAAGAACATAAGAAAGAAGGAACACTGCAACAAGTCTACTGAACCATGCGGAGCAGGTCCATGTCCCCCTTTCCCGATTAGCCCAATGACCCACCCCCCGAGATTAGCCCAATGACCCACCCAGTCTGGCCACCTCCACTCAAGGAAGGAGCACGGCACCAGACCCAGCAGCACAAACTAGTCAGGTTCAACTCACACCCACCCACACCCACTCATGTATTTATCTAACCTATTTTTAAAACTACACAACGTTTTAGCCTGAATAACTGTACTCGGGAGTTTGTTCCACTCATCCACAACTCTATTACCAAACCAGTGCTTTCCTATATCCTTTCTGAATCTGAATTTTTCCAATTTGGAACCATTGCTTCGAGTCCTGTCTTGGCTGGAAATTTTCAGCACGCTATTTACATCCCCTTTGTTGATTCCTGTTTTCCATTTATACACCTCGATCATATCCCCCCTAATTCTACGCCTTTCGAGAGAGTGCAGATTCAGGGCCTCAATCACTGACTGTTATTCATGTTGCTGCTGACTATAGCATGTTTTTGAACGCCGCTCACCCCTAGGCTTCACTGGGGAGTCAGTTTTAAGATAGAGAGCAGAGAGGCAGGGCGGGCCTGTGCTTCCCATATTTTCCGTTATAATTATAAGTACTAACCAGCCTACATGAGTGTTCTTACCAAATCCACGTTTCGAACCCCACACATGACAATACTTCAGCTACCAGGAAGTTGATCTTTTCAAGGCACTGGTTAGGGTTCATGTCATTTAAGATATCTTCCCAACATTTTTAGTTTAGGACATAGTTTACCTGGTCCCAGTTGATGTTCTTGTTGTTGAAGTTGAACTTGGTAAAGGTGCCCTCATAGCTACATGTATTTTGTTGATCAGGACCCCTGTACATGTTGGTCTGGACTTCGATTAGATTGTGATCAGAATTAGTTGTTTTTTATATTGTTATGTTTCTTACCAGGTCCTCATTATTTGTGAAAATAAGGTCTAGTGTGTTCTGTAGTCTTGTTGGCTCCACTATCTGCTGTCGGCCATATTGGAGGTCACGCCTCACTGACTTGAATTGATAAGCGTATGCTTAATTTAATCTTATAGTGTTGAACACCTTGTTTTACACTCAGACTTTGCATGTGGAGCTTCCCTGAGAACTTTATTAGGCTGGCAACTATAGTAACTTCATCTTTATATAAATATATGGCATAAAAAAATAAAAATGAAAAATGAAGTTAGGTATATTCCAACTAAAACTCACTGTTACAGTGCATTTCACTGGGTAGGTTAGATCGGTCAGTCTGGTCTGCTGACCTACTTATTAACGTGGGTGTCTGCTGACCTGCTTATTAACGTGGGTGTCTGCTGACCTGCTTATTAACGTGGGTGTCTGCTGACCTGCTTATTAACGTGGGTGTCTGCTGACCTGCTTATTAACGTGGGAGTCTGCTAACTTAGTAGTGGCCAGTAGGTACTTCAATCGTGTCATTACGATTTCGTGAGTCAGGTACTTCATTCACTGCTGATCAAGCGATTTCTGAGTCATTGCACAAAAACTAAACATTACATTTCCTTCTGCTCATTTCTGGTATTGTTTACCTTGCTTCCACGCTTGATACCATAAAGTGACATTTGTTATTATTGTTTAGTTGTAAGTGTAGTATGACAGGTTAGGCAGTGTACACTAACTGCTGTCTTCAGTCACTCTTCTTAATTTAGGATCGGCAGTGTTCAGCGTCGAAAGATGTAATGTTATTAGGCTAGACAGCGTTACTTGTGTATT